CTCATATAGATAAGTACATTATATATATATATTATATATCTTATATCTATATATATATATGTCTAATATATATGTCCATATAGTCTCTCTAATATATAGAATGCATCTATATATATATATATAATATATAGTATATATATATATATATAATATATATATACATATATAATATATATATATATATTTGTATATATATATATGTGTATATAATATATATATATATATATATATATATATATATATATATATATATATATATATATATATATGTATATATATATATATATATATATATATATATATATATATATATATATATATATATAAGTAAATATATATATATATATATATATATATATATATATATATATATATAAGTAAATATATATATATATATATATATATATATATATATATATGTCTATATATATGTCTATATATGTCTATATATCTGTATGTATATATACATATATAGATGCATATATATATATATATATATATATATATATATATATATATATATATATATATATATATATATGTTTATTTATTTATTTGTTTATTTATTTATATATATGTATCATTATCATTATTATCATTATCATTATCATTATTGTTGTTGTTGTTGTTATCATTATCATTGTTAGCATCATCGTTATCATTGTTAATATTATCATTATCATGATTTCCATTATGATCATTAACAGCAGCAGCAGCAACAGTATGATTATTATTGTTATCATCATAATAGTATCATCATTATTACTGTTATTAATATAACTGGATTCTGTTATTTTTCTTTTTATTATAATTATTATTATAATAATTGTTATTACTACCATTATGACTATCATTATCAGCAGTAGCAACATTGCTACGACTATCATCATTGAACAATTCTAATAGTTTATATATTTACTTCTTGCCATACTCTTGCGAATCAAATTCTTTTAAAGGAATGTAATTTGTATTATACACGTCCATGTAATTGTATGTACATTATATATTTACACGCATGAACGTATTATAGAAAGATGAAAATGATATATACAGATAAACTGCAAGACTAATAGATTAACACATAGATAGAGAGAGCAATAGATACATATACAGATGGGCGGGTTCACAGATAATCACCAGTCCTTATCGGAAGAGGCAATGCGCATAACAAGCATTATCCCTCTCCGTTTAGTGTGGTGCCGACGAGTGCCTCCTGCAGGTCCCTTCCGACGGAGCCTCAGACGAGGGGCGCCCCGAGGTGTTCCTTGCTCGTGCCCAAGTGCTGCCCGACTCCTGCCTCTATATGCCCCAAGGGTGGTGGGTGTTCTGAGCACTTGCATTGTTTGCTTGTGATTATCATTATCGTAATTTTCGTTGCTGTTTTTTTATTGTTATTATCAGTATGGTTGGTAGCATTGGTATTAGTAATTGTTTTTGTTGTAGAAGTTGTAAAAGTAGTAGTATTGGTAGACTAGTAGTAGTTGTTGTTGCTGCTGTAGAATTATTAGTAATAATAGTAATAATAATGAATTCAAGGATTATAAAACAGGATTTCTTATTTCTTCATAAATTCATAGTCAATGGTCAATACTAAAAACAAAGTTGCAATTAAAATGGAATAAGATAAGAATAAATAAAAAAATATTCAGTCAAGTTTATTTTATTAATATATGTTACTTTGAGTACTAAATGTCAAACAGACATACATTAACTGGATGATTATTATATACCAACTCTTGTTAGCAATTATGCAAAATAATTATGTACTCACACACACACACACACACACACACACACACACACACACACACACGCACACACACACACACACACACACACACACACACACACACACACAGGCAATGGCAAGTGCGTGCCGAGGAAGACACGACCTTCCTCTGGCTGGCTTGGCAGGACGACCTCGTGCTTCGTGATGACGTCATCGCTGCTCTCCTCCCGCCGGATGAGGACGACCAAGGCAGGGGGGGCGAGGATGACCAGGCTCAGAGCGGGCGATCTGCGGGGGGGAAGTAGGTGTTTCCGGTTGATGGCGTTGCTGTTGCTATTACCATGTTGTCGTCGTCTAAGTCATCGGCCTCCTCATCATTATCATTCTGATCATCGTATCTATTATCATTATCATCATCGTCATCATCACCATAATCATCGTCGTTATCATCATTATCATCACATCATCACCATTCTCATCGTGATCACCATCGATATATTCATCGTCATCAACATCCTTATCATCATCGTCCATAAGCTTCATTTTTGTTGTGCGCTGTTATTGCCATCGTCATTACTATGTTTTTTTTTTCTGTCAATCAAGAACTTCGTAAAGAAACTAAACCATTATTATAGATCAACCAACACCAGGACTGGCGCCAAGAAGGGGAAGTCGACAGGTCCTGCGACTCTGTGGGAGATCCTGCCCACTGACCCCCTGCCCCCCCTGGTCCTGTGGGGCGAGCAGGACCCACTCCCCCACCTCCTGGGCCAGTACCTCCTCTCAGGCCACCAACTCTCCTTCGACGCCTTCTACGAGCGTTTTCGGATCGTAGGTGGATTCCTCCGGATTCTTCTGGATTCTTCAGGATTCTTTTGGGTTAATCTGGATCTTCTGGATTCTTGTGGATTCCTCTGGATTCTTCAGGATTCTTTTGGGTTAATCTGGATCTTCTGGATTCTTCAGGATTCTTTCGAGTTCCTCTGGATTCTTCTTGATTTCTCTGAATTACTCTTTATTCTTCCGGATTGTTCTGGGTTACTCTGGATCTTCTGGATCCTTTTAGAATTTTCTGGATTCTTCTGGAGTCCTCAGGATTCTTCCGGATTCCTCTGGATTCATCTGGATTGCTCTGGATTTCTCTAGATTTATTCGGATTTTGCTCGGTTGTGTTTGTATGCTTCTGCCTATCTTCCTGTCTGCCTTTCTTCTGTTCCCATTAATTTCTGTAAATTCCACCCTTTCCCTCTCTTACTCTCTCTTATTCCTTTTTATGTCACCTCTGCCTCCGTCTATCCTTTTTCACTGTCCCGTAGTATGCTTTTACATATTTTCAGTATCGTGCTGCCCATGCAACTTACCTGTGAATTTTTAGTTCGTGTCTGCATCAGATGTATCTTACTTTTAAATGAGCTTAATCACCGATTTCAACTCTTAGTTACGAAGTGAATGATTCACTTAAACTTAAAAAAAATAATAAAGAAATAAATAAAATAAAAAAGAACCATCTCATATTCAATAACATTTAATGACGCCATAAAATTACACTTAATAAAACCCTTAAGGAAAATCCCTTGCACTCCATCGCCTTCCCACCAGGACCGGCTTCTTCTGCCAGACCTAGTCGACTGCCCGCCCGAGTGCCAGGCCCTCGCCGCCTCCATCTTCAGCCTTCTGGACGCGAGCGCAGATGGTCTCCTGAACCAGCTGGACGCCACCTACCTGACCCGGGCCAGCGTCAGGTCACTCACGCTGCAGCTGGATGACCTTCTGGACGAGTTGAGGGACATGGGGACAGAGCAGTGGGTGCACGTGGTTCAGGTAAGTTGTTTTCATTATGGGTGTATTATATTGCTTTGTCTGTTAATGGCTTTGTTGATTCGTTTCTTCTGAGATTATGGTAAGTTGCTGACAATATTTACATTCATTATGACTACAATTTGCATTACTATTGTGATTTTCATGAGTATTCTCGTGATTGAATTCTCTTTATCTATCTATCTATCTATCTATCCAGTTATCTATCTTTCTATCTATCTATTTATCTATCTATATTTCTATCTATCTATCTATCTATATATAAATACATATATATATATATATATATATATATATATGTGTGTGTGTGTGTGTGTGTGTGTGTGTGTGTGTGTGTGTGTGTGTGTGTGTGTGTATCAGTCTATATCGGTCTCTCTACCTACCTCCCCTACTGACTCTCACTCACTCACTCACTCTCTCTCTCTCTCTCTCTCTCTCTCTCTCTCTCTCTCTCTCTCTCTCTCTCTCTCTCTCTCTCTCTCTCTCTCTCTCTCTCTCTCTCTCTCTCTCGCAGTCTTGCTGACCCGCGTTAAAATCCCGCTCTGACAGCGGATGTTACCCTCGGCCATCCCTTGCACCCAGTGGGTAATTTAGACGCAGAATAAACAGTCATAATTTTACTGAAATCACCAGAGCTCGCCAACCAAACCCTAAATTATTGTAGTAATATTTCTTATCATCATACACACGACATACACGTACACGTTAATCCAAACCCTCCAATATCACTCCCCCCTCCCCCCTCCCCCCCTCAGGGCGACTCCGGACCCAGAGAAGCCTTCTTAGGGCGAGCCAAGGACCGCATGGTGTCTTCGGCGCAGTCTCAGGTCAGGCGCTGGATTGACGGGGATCTCGAAGGCGCGGACGAGGAGGCGCTGAAGGAGCACCTGCCGGAGCTGTTCTCGCAGGTCGTCGCGGCGAGGGAGAATACGGATGGTGAGGGAGAGAAAAGGGAGAAGTAGAGGGAGAAGGAGAAGGAGAGGGAAGGAGGGAGAGGGAGTAGTAGGAGGAGAAGAAGAAGGAGAAGGAGAGGGAGGAAGGGAGAAGCGGATGTTGAGGGAGGGAGGGGGGGAGGGGTGAAGGAGGGGGGTAGAGGGAGAGGGAAGGATGAGGGAAAATGCGGATGGTGAGGGAGGGAAGGAGAGAGAGAGAGAGAGAGAGAGAGAGAGAGAGAGAGAGAGAGAGAGAGAGAGAGAGAGAGAGAGAGAGAGAGAGAGAGAGCGAGAGCGAGAGAGAGAGAGAGAAAGAGAAGGGAGGGGCAGAGGAAGGGAGTATCATACATAATGCAGCGATTAGATGTCTTCCATGCCTATTTATCAGCCAACGCATCAATAGAATATATACAAATTATGTTTTCTTTTCTTTTCTTTTACAGGAAAGGAGGAGTTGTAACCTTTCTGTCAAAATAATAATATCTAGTGAGTGCTACGGATTTCAAGTTATTTGAATAAATATTCGTTATCTTTACCCAATTACGTATTATTATCCTACTGACACTGATTTAATGAAAAAAGTAACCCTTGTATGCACAGCTACAAGGGTAGCTGATATTCTAACTGATAGTTAGAATATCAGGACCAAAGAATTTTCATGGCGAATTTTCATACATTAAATCCTTTGAACTGAAAAATCTGCAAAATATAGAGAAAAAATACAGCGGATAAATGTATAAGAATGTTCCAGTGGAGTTGACCGATAAGGCTTATTTAGATTATCATTTAATATTTCAAAGCAAAACATAATCTGACTAAAGGTTGAGTGTGATGATTTTTTTATATAAACCACAGGACAATTTTCTGCATCTTTCTTTATATATCTTTAAACTGTGGATGATTTCTTCGGATGGGCTCTACGTCAGGAGGCAGAAATGGTTGCACCAAATATGTCTAACTACAGACAGTCTCACAGTTAAAGAGCATACACACTTGTAACATTGTAACCTTTGAACGGATCTGCACGAGCACGGGCTAACCCGGGAAGAGATATCACTAACTTTAATCTACGCATTGACGACACATAAAAGAAAATTTAGATGAGGCTTTCTCAATTTATTTATAACAACTTTATTAACTGAGGAGGCACAAATAAAGCACTCTTGCAACAAGGTAACATCCGGTACGCCATTAAACACATCGATGCTTAGCATAAGCGGTAGTCTTTATAATCTGCCACACACAGTGTGGCAGACACCAGTCGTATTCTGTGTAGAATGGCTTTAGCACCATTAAATTATCTTGCAAAGCGCCAGGGACTCATGGTAAGTGGCATCTGAGTACCGATCCGAGAAGTATTCTGGCTTCTTCACCGTGCAGCTGCAAGACACCGACCTGTCCAGCAGCTGCTGCTCTGCGTCTCAGGAGTTTTGCCTTGGTTGAATGGCCATCGCATTTAGTGGTTGTCTCCAACCAATCTCAGCTGGTATATCAGAAATATAATTTCCACTGATGCCAACACGTTTGGAAACCCAACTCTTATTGACGGGTCTACCCCAGTCAAAGTGTCTTCTCCACGACGAGCACGAGCAGTGGTCAGGAGGTAGAGATTGTCACTGGGCATGCTATGCTGGTTGTGTGACATGTCCTTTTCTCTGGGATACATGAGCTCGTGACTGAAACCAAGACTATGCCTTCAGCGAGGGTGTAAAATAGCCAGCATAGATGCCCAGCCTTACATTTTTTTTCTCGAATGTGAGGTCCAGACAGTGCTGGGTTCTCCTTAGGCTGTCTCCTTGTGGAAATAACAGCAACGTCCTTCGCAACGACAACAGACCATCTCAAGCAACTCATGAGATCAGTGTCTTGTCCACTCTTTTGACTTTTGATATGTAACTGTATTAATATAACACTCACTGTTACCAACAATATCAATCTACCTTTTTCTAATCTCTATAGCCTAGATTTTTTTTTAATTTGTTAACATTTCTGCCCTGCTCTAGATTGGAGAGCAAGCCGGGAAAGTTCTCACGAAAGTTTCGTGACAGATGACAGGCTTGGTTCAAAATCCAAAATCTTTTATTCTTGGACAAAAAAAAACAGTTAGTTTGCTCGTAAATTGAGTGATGGGTGGAATTTTTGTCTTATCTTGGGTTCTGGTAGGTTTTAAATCTGTGTGAAGTTGAGAAGCATAACGTGGTACAGGACAGTGTTAAGTTTTCCACTTACAAGGATACACAATAAAGTCCTTCAAACGTATGCATGAATAATTTTTGAGCCGTGATGTTAAAATTTCCTCAGTCGACTCAATTGGTAATTAGTATCGGCATGCTGACATCAGCAAGTTGGAGTCAGAGTTGGAGTGGAAAGAATTTGACCCCCAACGGAATTATCCCGCAGAAAAGTGCGCATGTCCCTCTACAAGCACTGACCTGCGTCAGTTTTGACGTGGGGCCAACTTTGACTTTACTGAAGCTTGCCCTTTCGGTTGCAGAGGGGGATTCAGCAACACATTTATTATGCTAAATCGTAAATACGATGTTATTCTTCATGCAGTTGCGATCACATCCTCACCTAACAGTGGCTTTGCCGTCCGGAACAATTTGTTCATTTCGTGCCCTGCGAGTAGGACGAGCTGATGTCACAATGGTATTTGTATGTAAAAAAGATAATGTTGTAGGTAACCATAAGGCATTGGTAATTATATGATCCTTTATTGTTGGTATTTCTGTGTTATTTCTGGTTTATTTTAGTGTGTCAGTTGCAGATGATCACTGACCTCGAAATTAAGAAGTCAGTGAATAAAATAGTGAAAGCTCACTTCAGAGCCGGTTGCATTTTGGATAATTGAAGGCCTCGGAGTGCCCGTTGGTCCTGACAAGCTGTCGAGCAAGACAGAGTTCCGAACGCAGCTCAAATCTCATGTCTTGTTTGTTTTCTTTACTTCTTCATTGCAACATACGTATGGTGCAGCATGAGGAAATATAGTAATAAAAACAAGTAAAATATACGATATATACCCACAAATAATCGCCGTCAATCACCTGTAAAATCAGTCCAATGTGTGCAAATCACCGGTATGAGCCAACATCTAAAATTACTTTAGTGTTTTTTCTTACTTTCCTACTGTTTTCTATAATTTCCTTTCTCCAACCTACCATTCTCTACCCCCCCCCCCCCTGTTATCGGCCTCGCACAGTGACGTCACAGGTCTTATCACCCAAAGCCTGCAGACTTACGAAGTGACGAGACCTTATTTATTAAAGTCTTGGTCTCTGCTGCCAATTCAGGTGAAACCAAATTAATTGAAGAGAATAATTCGAAAGAAATATTAATCAGGGTAGATATTATTCACTGTATCGACGGTACCTATTTTCCAGTGGAAGGCAATTTTAATTTTAAATAACCTTACCGTTCTCTCGAAAGGCACGAGACGACGCGAGAAATGACGAGAATTTGTAAACACAGCGAAGATCCTTCGAAAACGTTGACCTTAAACTTTCAGTAATTACATGTGTATTTCGGTCCATGATACTTTATTTTTTCTAGAAATTCGCCGTTTTTTGACACAGGTGCGTGTTATTATAATATTATTTTATTAGGTACTTGTTGCATGTATTAAAAGGTTTAATTGACCAAGCCTGTTTGCAGTTGTAGATTCAATCACCATGGATGTAATATTTACGTCTAAGCTTACCAAAACTTTTAAAAAAACCTATTTAGTAGTTTATTTAAACCTAGATTCATCCAAGCTTAGTGTAATCCCAGTCTGCTAACTTGGGACACTGTGGGTAATTAAAAAAAAAAAAGTTTTGATGGCTCTGTACTGAAGATGAGATTTTTTTTTTCTCTCCATCTACTTTGATTTTTTTATCTTCAAACGAGAGATCTCTTTTTTTTCAAAATATCTGCATCTTAATTTTTTTGCTGCCTGAGGTTCAGAAACTGGGTATAGGTTCATGTTCATTGATGTCTTCCTGTATAGCCTTGTGAACAAACATTTCCCTTCTGTATTTAGCTTAGATACAAGAGATAATGTAAAAGTCTATTCAAACATTGAGTATTCAAACAACAATGAAGAATGTAGTCTTCTGGTGTCCTTTTCATATAACCATATACCAGAGGAATATGACTGATATTTTGATAATTCCATGAAAAGGTGTCTTCTAATTGGAATGATGTGCATGCAGTATTTTTTCTTTCATCTTAACAACTGTTTCAAAGGCTGTCAAAACATGGTAAATGTTTAAGATAGGGCAACATAGATTAAGGCTTTAGTGCTTCACAGTTCAGCAAAGGCCACAATCATCTGTCAATATGCAGTAAGCTTAGAGCTTGTAATTATTTTCTATTTGGCAATAAGATGCCAGTGAGGTCAGCTAGCTCTTATCTTGCCAGAATATATACCTGTTAACCCATTCACCGCTCGTGGCAAGAATAGATGCCATGCCCACTTTGATACACGTTTATTTATTGTATTTACACATAGATGGCTCCACAAGTTCTTAATCACCAAATAGCCAAGAACTACTTATTTCACCTGTTTACCCTTTTCCTTCATTTTAGGAAAGTTTTTTTTTTTTGTATCATTTCATTGTCTAAAATATTCTAACAACAATTTAATAATCATAACATCAATAACAATAATAACAGTATCGACAGCAATGGTATTCATTTTCCCGCCAATGCAATGAATGGGAAAATCAGGGTCAGTAACTAGGGCCTTCTGTAGACTCCTTGCCGGCTGAGCTCATGTGGATCCATCTATATGTAACAAAATTCACCAAAAACTACAGGGGACAGAACATAAATCCAGGGCGAATGAGTTAAGAGGATGTTTGTTTAGTATTATCAGAGCACAATGCACAAAGGCCTTGGCAATACTAGACTAGCGTAGATTTGTTATTTTCTGAATATTAGTATTTATACCCAATAGAGGAGTTTTATGTGTTCTTATGTACGTTACCTTAATTTACTTAGTGATCCTGTTGTGAACATTTGCCAATTGTATTTTTCAACTAGTAATGTGTGGCCCTTGTTCTATCCAAAACATCTTGAGTCATGATTTTTCATACATCCATTTCACTGTTCTTGTTGTTCTTGTTGATCAAATGTCTGCACTTTTCAGTTCCTGCTCAGCCATGGCTCCTCTTGAGGGAGTTCCGTGTCAGCTTGTACGTATTATGGAGTGTAAACAAGGTGCAGTTCGAGCTGTTAGATTTAATGGTAAGGAAGGTGGTGGTGCTTGTAATATATTCATAATGTGCTCTAAAAGTTAAGTCTTTATTATCATCACAAACATAACAAGTGGAAATACAATACAATCCTTGCAAAATATTTTCATACAAGATATTATATATACATATATATGTATGTATATATATATATATATATATATATATATATATATATATATATATATATATATATATATATATATATACATATATATATATTTATATTTATATATTTACGTATATATATATATATATATATATATATATATATATATATATATATA